GTTCCTCCATTTCATGTTTGCAAGCGTCAAGTCCATTGCACGCTGAAAGACAGAAGGCGCATCCTTCAAACCAAACGGCAACACCTTGTATTGAAATGTAAACTCTTCTCCGACCATCGTTGTCTTACACCGGTCTTCCGGCTTAATCTTTATTTGCCAAAAGCCATTTTTCAAATCAATTTTACTAAATACAGTAGCTTTATCTAACGCATTCAGAATATCATCCACTTTGGGCAAGGGATAGCTACTGCCCATTAATCGTTCATTTAATTTACGAAAATCAACAGTTAGTCGCCGGGATTTATCCTTCTTTTTTACTATACAAATAGGACTTCCCCACGCCGAATTTTTCGGCTCGATGATTCCATCCTTAATCATTTCTTGTGTTTTAGCTTGGAGCCATTTCCGATCTTCAAACAATGTGCGATACGGAGGAGTTCGAACCGGTAGACTCGTTCCTGTGTCCACCGAGTGCTCATAAATGGTGCAACATCCAATTGGGCGAGCTTTGGTGGGCAATACCGATTTCGCTTGATAAAAAATCTGTTTTAACTCTTCTTTACTAGGGCAAATATCTCCCACTTTGATTTTAGCGAACGTTTCTTCTGTTTCAGGATCGACAGCGCCGGCGACGGCTGGCTGAAGTTGCATTGCAACGCATTCATTGATTTTCTCCAGTACTGGGACGCCTTTCTCGTCACGTGAAACATTACAGGACTCATCGTGGTAATTCTCTTGAAACTCCGGAGAGTCCATTTGGTACACTGCATCGACAAGTGCAACTTCTCCGAGGTTAGTCTGCTCATTTAAAACCAATGGTTGATCAGAAACGTTGACCACACAAACTCGACAATTACCATATTCGTTAAGGGTTAAAACGCCATCAAGCAACACGGCATTTTTATTTGTTTCAGGAATACATCCTTCATATAAAAACGGTTGAGTGTACAGACACTCATTCTGATATTCCATAAATTGTTCGTCTGACATCGCCGTCGTCGCCCGAATAATTCCCTGCGAATGGGGCTGGATTATAACCGGAAAAGCCGGAAATAGCTCCATTTTAAAACAGTCGATTGGACCAGGTTCAGGCTCAAAACGGTAGATATCTTGTTCCGCTAAATTTACTTCAGTCTGTGCTTGAGCTTGTTTCAGATGGGCGTCCCTATACGCCAACTCAATAGCGTCCTTCGTGTAAACGCAATTTCCGTGGATTCCCGAACGTCCTGAGACCGTTTCGGTAAGTTCTTGGCCACTGGCTGCTGTACCGGGGCCGGCGGCACCGTTTCGGCGGACATTTGACTCGCTGCCTCCCGTTCTGCATATTCGCGCTTAATTCTGCGACTGTAACTGGACTTTTTACGCCGAGGCGAACTGCTTCCCGAACTGTCCGATAGCTGTTCGACATTTCCTGCGGTGGGTAGTACTGAATTAATACCCACCGACTGATCTGCCGCTTTCTGTTTCTGAATTTCGTTCCAGATTGCCCACTGCTCATTAATATTCACATTCGTGGGCGTATCGTATGTTGCCCTGACAGCCGGAGGTATTAAATCTGACATGTGCTGACTCGTTAACGCATATTCTTGCGGTGAGTTACCAGTCGTTTGAGAAGCTATTACTCTTTGCTTCTCCGCCTGTCTATCCTCATAGGAGACCGGACAAGGACCAATGTTAATGGGCCGCATATCATCAGCAGAGATAAAACTGCCGTTTTCAAATTCTCCAACCGGCGCCGGGTTATCCACTGAAAAGGTAACTTTACGTTTTCCTGTTGCTTTCTGAGCAGCCAGCTGCTCATTTTTTTTTAACGTTTCAAAATGCCGACGATCATTTACAGAGTTTCGACACGTATCACAATTCTTCTCGTACCGTTCGATTTCGATTATACAATCCGGCCAATAAAAAACTTTAACAAGATACTGGTGTTATTTTTCGTACGGGCCGTATACCTGCTTATGCACCAAAATATCGTGAAAGCAAGCTATCAATTTCTGCCGCCATTGGTATGGCACGTATATCCTCGGACAAGCGCCAGAGTGATCAGGCACTCTACACAGAATTCCTCCACAAATAATCAAGCGATTGACTTCGTACTTTGTATAGTTGGTATTTGCATGCGACGGCTTCTTGCACATCTTGTACCATATACGGCTATCCACACACATCTGCTGCTTTTCTCTCCAGAACTGTGGATCGCGAAACATTTTTTCTGTAGGGAACAAGCCTTTATCCTGCGGTATATCCATCGGCGCCATCCACCTTTTCAACTCTGGATTCCGTGCCATATACGACGGATAGTCGTGGACTTCATCGACATCTCTACGGTCACGTTCAACAGGTATAACATTTAATAACTTGTTTTCCATGCTCAGGCATTCGACCGATTTAGACGATTTTTCTAAAACGCCCATATATAAGTATTTAGCTGCGGGATGCTGTTGTAGGACTGCGTCCAAGGATGAGATCTGAATTGGAAGTTGCAAGGGATCGTCAACCCCACGAACTTGACTGGAGCTAAAGCTGGGGACAGGACTGACCGATGCCGAAGACGAGGTACTGGAACCATTTGCCGGCGACGGCTAACAAATTTTTTCTTGTTTGATTAGCGGCGGGGAAGACGCCTGTTCTCCACCCCGCGAACTCAACTGCATGTTATGTACAATTATTTCACCGCCTCCCCCACGAACTTGACTGTGTCCTGGGTTTTTCTCCGTTTTAATTTCCTTTTTGATTGCAGGTGGGACCGGTTCGTCCGCTACCGAAGCCGTTTTCGGCAAGTATTGCCTGATCATTTCCTGGACAACTCCCCGCACAAACTCGACATCACGTTGATCGGATCCCGTTTTAACTGGTGCGGCCGGCACGGATGTTACCTCTTTGACTTCCGCTTTTACAGGTACATCTGTAACTTTTAGCGCTAATGACGGTTGAACTGGGCGAGGCCACGACTGTTTGGCTTTTTGTAGATGTAGAATACAAATTCCGGGTCTGCTTTCGCTAAGATTAGGTGGGCCGACTCATAAGGGACAAATTTTGCCTCCTTAGCGACACCAATTCGCTCTGTTAACATCAACGCCGGTATCAAAGGTGACGGTTTAACTCCCAGGGGAATTAAGGGATCGAAATCGTGCGACCGAATGACGTCTGACATGAGGTGAGTTTCACGGCGCAAAAATGCTGGCGCACCGGCCGGTCTGCGCGAGAGACGCCAAGTCATCGTATTCATATCCAGAATAAATGGTTTCGTTGCCAGGAAATCAAGACCCAGAACAATGTGGTCCCTATCAAAAGTGGAACGTACGAGCATTGCATGCTCGAAAGCCATCCCAAATTCATGGATTGTGAGCACCACAGAAAGCGGCTCGATTAACTGTCTTCCCTGGTAAGCTGTATGGACAACTCTACCTTTGATATGATCAGGACATCGGTGGATATTCAGTTTTAAATCTTTGGCCATTTTAAGGGACATGACCGAAATGCTAGAACCCGTATCAAGCATTGTTTTCACTTTCTGATAATTGATGTCGATTACATAGTACCAGGCCTGAGCGTCGAGCGTTGGCAACAGGCACACGTGATCTGCTAACGGATATTGCGAAAGATCCTGGATTTCCATTTTATGACACTGAGGCGGTGGAGAGGACAAACCTGCCGGTAAGTCTAACTCCATCATGTTTATCTGTTGCTGTGGATTATTGTATTTTGCCAACAATTCTGCGGACGGTTCGTACTGACGAGGAAGTACAAACTGGTTCGTACAACCTGCTGCGGGATGTAAACCGTGGCAGCGGAAGCAAATTTCGACTCCACGATTAGTGCGCCATTTTTCCTTCTGGATATTCCGCTCATCAAAGGGAGGCTGGCTACTAGCCTGCTGATTTTGGCGATAATTCTGGCCTTGGCCATTCTGATATTGCTGACGATTGTTATTGTTATTATAACCGCCGCGCTGATTATTATTCCCACGATAGTTATTATTTTGCTTATAATTCCCACGGTTGTTGCCACTGTTATTATTATTATTATTGTTGTTCACAGGAATATCCTGCTGATACTGTGGATCAAAATTCTGTACCGGCTGCTGAAACTGAGGCTGCATTACCGGCATCATCGGGTTTATCATCTGCACAGGGACAGGCATAGCAGCTTGCATGGGAATAGGCTGTTGAAAGGTTCGCAGTGCGTAAAAAATCAGCTGCACGGTTTTCCTGCAACGTGTTCAGCCACACGGTACTGCTTATTTATCGGAGATATTAAGCCACTACAAACAAACTAAATACCAGTGCTCCATTAACAAAGTGATGCCGTGTACGGTATGTACTACATACCTATACTATACTGCTGAAAACTGAGTTTGCTCCGACAAATGTAATTAAAAATACAGTTAATCAGTTCTCAAGAAATTTGTTAATTAACAAAGTCGAAATTTACCATAGGTATTAGTTTAACTAAAGTTATTATTGTACAGTTTAAGAGATATTTCAATATCTTTTGTTCCACTGGCTACATGAGTGTATGAAATAGAGAAAAGATTAAATGAGTTTCGTTCAGCAGGTGTCCAGTGTCACGGTTGCGCCATTCTGTATGTGTAATCATCAACCCTCGGGTGATAGCAACCAGTAAGTTGTCATAAGGCCCTTTCCCTAACAGAAACATGTGTTATGCATTGTACGTATGAAACAACAAGACGGCTTCATCATGTAGGTCCATCGTTGATTAGTACTTTACTGGGGTAGCCTAGAGATGGCAACGGCTTAGCCGGCTATTGGCCAGCCGGCTGAAGGTTTTTGCAAGCCGTAGCCGACGTCAGGCCGGCTGCTTAAGCCGGCTGAGACTTCAGCCAGCCGCGGCTTAGCCGGCGGCCGACTCGGCTAAAGCGGCTTGAACGGCAGCATCGTTGTGCAATTTTTGGCGGTAAAGATGGCGCCACCGAGTCACTTTGCATCATATTTTTTTCGGCTTGCGCCCAATTTCTGTCGCTTTCGCTAACGATATTCTTAAACTCGGCCGCCATGATGCCATTTCAGTAGCAATGACGCCATTAACTGTAAAAAATTAGGGAATTTTAACTCATTCAGACTCGAAATTCCCGAATAACCGCTGCTTTTTTTTGCTTCAAAAGTTTTCGAAAACCGTTTTTTCACAACACAAACGGAACAATTTCTAATTTTTTGTGATTTAACTGCACTTTATAACGTTATTTTAAAAATTTTGCGAATTTTTTAAAGCGAGAATATAAACGGCTTAGCCGGCCGCCAGCCGGCTAAGCCGGCTGGAAAATTTGGTCAGCCGCTCTAGCCGGCTGAGACTTCCAGCCGCGTTGAGTTAGCCGGCTAAGGGCTTCAGCCGGCCGTCAGCCGAAAGGTCAGCCGTTTAGCCGGCCGTTGCCATCTCTAGGTTAGCCAGCTAGTCTTCATTGTGTTACCTTGATGTTAGTATCTCCTCGGCTCTTGAACAACAAACCACTCGCCGATGATGCCAAATTAACCGTATCGGAGCTAACGTGGACCATATCCGCTTCGCCATGGCTTTCCATGCGCGACGCAGTGTTGACCGTGTCACCAAATCTGCCGATAAGACAAGCTTTCATTGAACTGTGCCCAGGTCTCATGCGTACGGACGATCTTACAGACAATATCTTGGGCGTTTCAATCCCACCACGCCCACAGCGACTGGGCCACTGTGGATTCCACTGATTAGTGTCATGTGTCTGTGGTTGGGTAAGCGGTCGAAGGAGTTTTGAATTTCCAGAGAAGCCAAACAGATTTGCTGGGCGTGCTTGTCGCCTATGCGTTCTACTACGCCGCTTGTTGCCTAAAGGATTTGGATTGCTTATTTCATGAAGGTCATCCTCGTGTCGTTTGTGAATAATGCCTCGCTTTCGTTACAATAATATTGACTAAATAAAGCCTCCCAGATTGAATTGGTGTTGTTTAAAAGGAAATTAATGACAATTACCGAATGACAAATCATTATGGGCCCGTTACAGAACGTTCGTATCGGCAGTGACGATCATTACCATTTGTATCGGTTCGTGTACTTGTTAGAATTACATTTTTATCTTACCATGTAGCTGCTACCAGTTGTTTCCATTTTGTAAAAAAAAAACCGGCAACCGATTTGTCAAAGGCGGAATATACACTGTGCAAAGGTTCACGACATCCGGCGGCGCGACGGTTGTCACGAACTCGCCAAATCCACACATGTCATTGAAATACATGCTCACAGATTCCACATATTCAGGTACTACGCGGAGTCCGTTGCGCAGCTTTTTCACAATTCCTCTGAAACACAACACATCACACTGTACTAAGACAAAATAGTGGTGCATTGACAAATTAATCAGGGACATTACTGGGGTAACATCTTCCGCAACAGTTGATCGGCTTCTTCTTTTTCTGATTTCAACTGTAACGTGCGATCGGCAACATCATGTTCCAGTTTAATGGAATATCTCGCCAACTGTATGAAGATGCGTTCTACCAGAGATCCGCGGATGCCTTCCGCCACGCTGGCCAATCGGATGGCTCGGTCAAATTTACGCAATTTTGGCCGGCCTTTTGGATTGGAGTTTCACGCTTCACGAATGAGCGGTGTTATCGTCGAAAGAAAAAGTTTCGGTAAGTTTTCTGTAGGATCATTTAAGTCGATTTGTTTTATCGAATTCATAAAAACAGGTAAAAGCGCAGATTAAAATGTGGCGAATATACAGCACACTAGCGGTACTTCGAAGTATACATAAAGTTACCGGTTCGTTGGTCGGCAATTTTTTCCGGCAGATCCGCGCCAAATGGCTCGCATTCCATTAGAATCTGGTGAATGATGATAGCGAATGCGTACACGTCGCTGTCTTGTGTTGGCATCTGCCCATTCCGCACTTCTGGTGAGAAGAGAATTAGTAGAAACAGCGGGTTGATGGTAGTACAAATAGCGGGCTCTCCTATTGGTTAGTTTGGCTGAAGTACCGCCCCCATTCACTATAGGGTGTACAAATAGCGGACGGACGAAGAAGTTCTTTAAGGATTTGTCGAGAAAGATCTGTGACTGTACAGGCAACCCTCGTTCAGGGGAGTTTTTGCGTCAGAAAATAGGTATCGAGATTCAGCGAGGAAATGCAGTATCTGTTCTCGGTACTTTTAGTGACATGGTGGAGAAGGAGGATGTGTATTTTGCCTTCAAATTAGCTAAACGGCAATGAATGTCAAGGATTGTTGTTCTTGTTACTTGTGTAATACGCGATGTAATTCAATAAAGAATTTGATAAATAGCGTATTGGTCAATTTCAACCGCCTCCCTATATTCTACGGTGCACAATAACGTACAGGCCATGTACTGTGTACAATAGCGGATTGGTCGGTTTAACATGCCTATAATGTATGTACAAATAGCGTACAGATCGGTTTAACCTGTATGCCGTCTATAATCTACTGTGTACAATAGCGTATTGGTCGGTTGGATCTGTATACCGCCCAAAATGCAACGCGTACAACACCGTATTGACCGACATTATATTACGCTGCCACTGTAAACCAGGTGTATTGCACTGCAGTGACTTGTGATCAAGCGCACAAGTTAAACTTTTCAAAGTCATCATTCGTAGTTTTCACTTCTGGAAGTCGTCATTTAAGGAATTATTTCTGCAGTATCACAACTGGATTAACGTGCGTGATCGTGTGTGATCATCATGAAAGTTGGTTTGTTTGAAACTGCAAAGATCGTTTGTATGTATGAAACGCTGTTATCGTGATACTCTTATTGTTGATGTTCGAGTTTTGTTATTTTCGCACCCGGATCTGTACTGATTTTGGAATATTTCTCATCTTGTACTAATTGACTGGCACGGAACAGCACGTGCTATTGTTGGCGGAGTGGAGAAGTGTCCGCATTTCGGAGGGATTCCATACGGTAAGTAAATGTGAACGTGTTAAGTACTTTGTTCCGCACTTTCTCATAGGTTTCATCCCTGCATACATTTAGTTATACAAAGTATAACCTTCTTGGCGTTGTTCGCAAATTTTTTTAAAGATTCCTTCTGTCTAATTACTGTCTCTCCTTCAACTTTGACGCGACATTCTCAAAATTTTTATTGTTTTACGAAGTGCATGGCGCCGCACCAGGTGCTTTCTCACTTTCGCTTCTTTACTTTCCGACGTGCTTCGTATGACAATCTCAACATTCCAGCTGTCTAGTTACTGTCTGTCCTGCAACCCTGGCGCGGCACTCTCAAGTTTCCTTCATTTTTGACGCGACATTCACGAGTTTCTTTTTGTTTTACCGTTGTGTATGGCGCCAGAACAGGTGCATTCTCACAATCTTCGCACAAGTCAAGATTCAATCTGTCAAATTACTGGTTACCATTCAACTTGACGCGAGCTTCTCAAATTTCCTCAACTTTTTCTGAGTTATTCTCAAGTTATTTTTGACATTCGACAAGAGATTTTCAACTTTCCTACATGTTTGACGTGAGAATCGAGTCGCTGCTGATGGTGCACGCGATAAAACTTTGCAGTCTAAACAACTTGGCCGATGATTACGCATGGTGCAACTTCATCGGGCACAACTTTTTAGATGATAATACCTCGTTCAAATTCATCGAGTGTAGCTTTTTGTTTTGTAAACACGGTTTTCATTGATCAAAGGCTGCTATGGGACGGTGCAAGGAAGTTCCAGTACGAAACCGGAGTCGCAGAACAGTTTTTTTGGATAAAGAAAAGTCATTAGTCTTTTCAACACCAAAATCGTCTACTTCAATTGCCAGACAATGTCCAAGATGCGCAACCATGGTTTTCAAGCCTCTAAGCGCCCACATCCTGCAATACTGCTCGTATCTTTCCAAGATTTTCAAAGAATTAGCAGATAAAGAATGTTTTGCGGCTAAACAGGCTGTGGATGCGCTTGAAACGCTGCACTATCCTGGAAAGCGGTTTGTTAGGCAGTTCGTAAAGTGACCAGTGCCTTGGCTTATGGTTCCTGTGTTCGCGTGGCGAGAACATATCGTGCTGACCAATATAATTGTTATGTGACGGACATGGATTCTACCGACTCTTGGTCGCTCAGTAATCTTGCTGCACCGCTGGATTGTGTCGATTTGAAAAGTCTTCTTCAGATGCTTGCGGCAAAAGGCTACTTCCTGATTTCTGCGTCAACAACAAACAAGCAAATGCACAAAGGTCTTATTTCTTATGTGTTCGTGATGGTGCTGATCAATCACGGTAGGCATTTGTGTTACGGTTGTAATAATGTCATGTCATGTCATGTCTTTCGTAGGCTCAGAAATAAAAATTATGTTCTTCAACCCAAGTGGCAAGAAGTTTTCGTCCAAATTCGTTCGCCGCGCCTTCATCGAAGCTGTTCTGGATGAGTCTAAGCCGTACCCTGAGTTGTATGATTTCTTTCATCATCAATGGCCGGAGATACCTAAAAACTTTGAACACCTGCAGCCGGACAGCGTACAACATGGTGCAACATTGTTCAGTGAAGCATGCACGCACTTGTCTCGTTATTTTATCAACAGCACTTTGGAAAAGGTAAGCGTCGATAATTCTTTCTTCATTCATTTTAAAATTATGGACTCTACAGGTTTTCTCTGGCCAAGATATACGATTCGCCATGCGTGACACAACTGTCGAAATCCAACTGTTTGGTTGGCAAATGATTTACTCCCGTCATACAACGTTGGAAAAGAGCAATGCCCTGCGCGACAAGATTCAGAAGCAAATCGGCTGCCACTACATCCTCAATTTGGTCACTGATATCAGGTATGGCACAGAATTCTACGTGTAAGCAGTACTCTAGCTAATCATGGGCTTCTTTTGTTGTTCTGAGCCTTCAACATTGAATCAAGCGGATACTGACTACATTGCTGCCATGGATCATGATCTCATGGGTAACGACAACGACTTTGATGAATATGGATACAACTTCGTGCAATTTTTCAATCCTTATTCACCGCCTGGTAGTCCATTCAACTGGTCGCAAGTCTACACACCACCGCAATCGCCTCCACGGAATCCGATGAATCGCAGGAACGTATGAAATTTAATAATCAGTCAGGTGGTGCAGAACCGATGGAAGTGGACGTGCAGGATAACGGCGACGATGTGGAAGAAGCCATTGTTGCGGATCATGTTCCATCCCAGGAATCACTCAGCCAGCCCGTTAAGAATGTCAACGTTCCTGAGTCAGACCAATCCTTACCGTCGGGATCGGACTGGTCCAAAGTTTCTACGCTCCGGAAGATAAGTCACAATCACAACAAAGAGTCAACCATCACTAGTGTTTCTACAGCCTTAAGATCAAGTGATTGCCGCAAGAGTTTGATACAGTAACGTCATTGGAAGCACTGCTAGAAGTGTTTAAAGCAGTTGGAAAGCTTGTTCTGTAGATTTTCAGCCGCACGACGCTGTGTGTATAACACTGTTCTCCCGGACTATGGAAAATCCCATGCATTTGAAAATGCAGTTCTTCCGTAATTTTAATCCGCGCGACCTGACAGAGATGGTAATGAAAATCAGCTCAGGTGGACTTTTCTGCATCGATGATTTTTTGCGACTCGTTATTCATCGGACGTTCATCCCCGATGGTGGTGCTGCTAAGCGCAAGCATATTCACTCGACACACGACCGGAAACGATTCGCGACTTCAATTGTCAAGTTGATGTCGGTTATAATCTGTGTTTGCCAGCATGCCATGTGCTTGGACGGTTCTATCACGATCCTTCAAAGAACACACGGAACTAGAAGCAACTGACTGATAGAAGAGATAAAAAACTACAGGGACTCGCAGCGGATCTGGTGCATTAAGCTGGACTTCCTGTCGGAACCAAGTTTTCCTTAAACGACATTGAGCGTTTCCAAACAACTGTCCTTAAGTAGTTCCAGATCAAAATTGTTGGTGCCGACCACTGTAACATCATTATTGCCGGGTGTCCCGAAAGGCAGGGTAAGCTGAAAACCATCTATCTTTTGTACGAGAATGGCCATTTTGATCTGATAACGAGTCCATCCGGATTTCATCGACGTGGTTATTTCTGTGAGTTGTGTGATAGGCCGTACGTTCAGAAAAAAAACATCGATGCCAAGGTAAATGTCTCAAGTATTATCGCCCGAAGGAAATTTATACCGAGCCAGAGACATCCAGCAGAATTCTGTGCCAAGATTGCAATCGCGAGTTCAACAATGACATCTGCTTTGATCTTCACAAGAAAGAACGCAAAAACGGGCGACCATATTGCACAGAATTGTTTATCGGCCCGAAATGGGGACTGTTTGTCAGTCTGCTCAATCGCAAGACCAAGAAGCACGAATGCGGTGAAATGTATTGTCACCCGTGCCAGGATTGGGTAGATCCAGCGACTAACAAGTGCTACCTTAAACCATTAGAGCCTCGTGTCCATGGATCAAGATCGAATTACTTTTTTTTCTAAATAAATTTACGTGGATGCGGAGGGAATTCATAGACCTTGTTATGTCGTCGCACAATACACGAGTGGAGAAGAGTTTTGAATACCTCCAGATAATGTTTCCATGCTAAAAAAAATTTAGCCAATGGGCATATTTAGAGCAACACCGAGGAAACATTTTGACTGCACACAACTTTCGCGGTTACGACGGACACTTCCTAATTTCGTGTCTACTGGAAAACAATCTCAAAGGAGTTGATGTCATACGACGCGGAAGTCAACTTTTTGATCTCCGTTACCGGCTTTGGAAATCAAGGCGCGCAACACTCTTAACTTTGTCATGACCAAACTATCCAATATTCCGAAGGCGGTTGGTCTGTCCGATTGCGAATCCAAAGACGATTTTCCTCATCGCTTTAACAAGCCGGAAAACTGGGGCAAAGTGCTTCCGTTTCAGGATGT